CCCTTGGTGCTTTCTTAGTTAGTTTTTTTTTTTTTTTTTTTTTTTTTTTTTTGGGCTTGACAAACACATGGTCAAAGTATTCGGTGAACAAACTCCGTTTAGTGGTGAAGCGGTGGATTCACTGATTGAGAACATATTGAACAATGTTTTTATCTCTCCTTTGCTTCTCTAGGTCATTGTGGAAAAGGCTCCTAAAGCCAGAATAGGAGATCTGGATAAGAAGAAGTACCTTGTCCCCTCTGACTTGACAGGTAACCACTGCACTTAGTTGGCTAACCTATGTATATGAAGTTTGTGTTTTCAACAACTTCTTTTTTTTTTTTTTTTTTCGTCAACAGTGGGCCAGTTTTACTTCTTAATCCGGAAAAGAATCCACTTGCGAGCTGAGGATGCCCTCTTCTTCTTTGTAAACAATGTCATTCCACCCACCTCAGCCACCATGGGCCTGTTGTACCAGGCAAGAACCCTTAACTCAGTTTTGCGACTCGTTGCATTGTCCCGTTTAAATTAAATAAACTCTTAATGTGTTTTTTTTTTTTTTTTTTTTTCTCCTTCAGGAGCATCACGAAGAGGACTTTTTCCTCTACATTGCCTACAGTGATGAGAGCGTGTACGGGAGCAGCCAAAGGGAAATCTGATCTCCTCCTTACCACCACTTTCCCATCTTTCTGAGACCTCCATCGTTCATTCATTTAAATATTAAATATTAAATCCAGCTCTGCAGCCTAGACATCCCAGAGTAAACATGTCAACTGCACTTTCGTCTCTGCTATACGTCACTGCGCTCTCGGTGAACTCGTCTTTATTATTCTGCAGTCTGAATTGTATTTCCTCCACTCTTCGATAACTACTCATTATGTGGTCACTTGGCCAGTTATTTTTTTGCTAGTGTCATAACTGATCATAGTTTAATGAAAGGAAGTAAAAAAAAAAAAAAGGGGATCTAATAATCTTAGAATTAGGCTGTTGCTCCGAGGTTGAGAGAGGGGGTAAAAAAAAAAAAAAGGCAGTAAATCTTGATTTTTAAATCAGCTTCTACATATAATGAAAAGTAACTATTAGCTGCCCAGTTGTGTCGACCTGCTTGGTATAAAAATTGCATTTTGGGTCGAAGGTTGGAAATGAAATTCTGATGGAGTAAAAGGATAACTGTTTTGCAGCAGTTGTTTTCCTAGCAGAAGAGTCTGAAGTGGCGAGACTTGTCTTTTCGTTCCCCGGCCATTAAATTGTTTAAGAGCACATGGCGTCCTGCCTGCATCTGATGTTAGGAGGATGATAGAATTCAGACTACACAGCCATCCTCTGCTTCCAGTGGTATGAATATTCTGTTGACCTGCTATAATTATTGTTAATGTTGTTCAGTTTAGTTGGCTTATTTTCTAAAGGTATTGTAAAGCTGGGCGCAATCTTATTCTTTTTTTTAAGTTTGTCTTTTTTTTTTCTTCTTTTTTTTAATGAAAACACAATTTGATCTCTGTATACAGCTACATTACTGGCTATTTCTCTCCATTCATTACCATAACTGATAAAAAATGTAATGAAAGTCCAGGTGTGTTTTATTGAATGTTACTTTTTGAACCCTGATTTAGACGTTTCTGTCACTGCTCTTGCTTTTTGAGTTTAATGCTCAGTTTGGGGGAACAAATACTATCGGAAAGAATGATAGTAAATTCCACCATTAAAAAAAGATTAGCTTCTTATATGAAACACTGTATGCTCATAGTTCATTTGAACAACAAAGTTTTTTTTTTGACCACTTGTAATCATTTCCTGGGATAAATTCAATTTCAGATTCTTTGACAGTTTGTAATGATGATTGAATTGGACCCAAGCATTGACATGAAAATGTTGATTGCTTAATGAATAAAAAAAAAAGAAAATACTTAGAAAAACTGGAATAAAATGACTGGAAACGGCGAAGTAAATATGAAAATGCAAAATGTGGCTTCTTTGACCTGTCAGGGAGCAAGACAGCCAGCACAGCCTGATAGTCATCCTCAGCTCCTTCCAATATAAGATTTGACTCGGGCAACTAAATTATCTCCTTAAATAATATGATTTGCTTGTCTGCAGTGTTCTCTGTGTGGACAAATTCTTCTGTCATGATGTATAATGGTTGAGTTGGACCCAAGTGCAGAATGAAAATGACAGCTGTTTGCTAATTGGAATAGAAATCTGATTTTAAAAATGACCTTTACATTTAAAAAATTATATTACATTTAAAAAGTTAAATAAAAGTTCATGGAGCAATCCCCTATCGCACCCACAAGCGGAAAAAAATGGGCTACGAGGGAGGCGGGGCACCGAGGAACCGGACCCTGCCCCTCTACACACGGAGACATGCTCTCTCCTGTCCAGTAGGTGGCGGTAATGCACCTGCTTATGCTGCTTACCAACCGTAAAAAGAAAAGAAAAGAAAAGAAGTAGAGTTTTATTTTTTTCCTCCTTGTGCGTTATCCGGAGTAAAACGCTGAAAATAGCTGAAATTTAGGTTCTCATTATACGCATTGCAAAACGACAAAAGTAAGTTTTTCTTCAGTTGTTTTAACACTGTGAGACCGAAGTCACATTAAAGACAGACACAACAAGATGGGCCACGTAGCTTGACAGCTAGCTAGCGATGTCAAAAACGTCACATCTTTAAAGAAAGAGTTTATGTATCAAACATACCTGTACTTATGTGATGGAAATAACATCAAGACAGACGCATTGATATGAATTTTAAATTACCCTGCCTTTGTTCATTTTATGTAATTGATAACAGCTACAGGCGACGTTAGCTTAGCATGTAGCTCGTTGCCGCTTGCTAACTCTGTTTTCTTCACCAGTTTAGACGCAGCTTTGTCAGTAAACATGCATTTAGGGTTTGACTACAAATGTGTGTTTGTCTAGCAACAATAAAAAGAGCATTGTTTCTGATTACCTATATATGTATGCAGGTATATACAGATAATTAGTATAATTTACATTGACCCTAAGGCAGAACCGAATTGAACTCGTTTTTTTTTCCACCAAAACGGCCTTAATGAAGATGGGTAAGCAACAATAGGCTATGGAGACGCAGAAAGAGAGATTTTCCTCATATCTGCAGTTGCAGTGATGCTGCCATGTCACTTTGATCCGCAACCTCTCGGTGATTCTTCCAACACTTTGTTAAATGCATATAATTAAGTCCTGAAGGCATTAAGGTCTATACCATGCAGGTAACCCAGGAATCCTCTGCTCTAAACCATATGAAATGTACAATTTCAATTCCTGTTTTATATCTTACGCTGCTCACAAACGAAAACGCATCCTTTCATGCACTGAAGTATTCTCATGTTGTTTCTTGTGCATTTCAAACATATTAGCTGGCCCCTCCACTGCCTGTCACCATGCCTGCCCTACTGGAGAGACCCAAGCTGTCCAATGCGATGGCCAGAGCCCTCCATAAGCATATAATGAGGGAGAGGGAGCGCAAGAGACAAGGTAAATACAAATTAAACTCGTTCCAACAGCCAGAAGAACTCTAAGTACTGTAATTTCAAGAATAAATTCACAGACCTCTGTTTTTTTTGTCCAATAATTGTCTGAATTTGAAATTCAATTTAAGTTAAACTCTCTCTCTCTCACTCTTTAATTTGCATAGTTATAATCTTCCACTTCCTGAATTTGACCCCTCAGACTGCAGCTCATCAGTTGCTTAGCATTTCTTTCTTATTTTATAAAAGAACATATCTGCTCCACCATTTCTGGTTCAGTCTGCGTAAGCATTTCTGCATGTTTTAACATTTTTTTAGAGGAAGAGGAGGTGGACAAAATGATGGAGCAGAAGCTGAAGGAAGAGGAGGAGCGGAAGAGGACAAAAGAAATCGAGGAGAGGATGTCCTTAGAGGAAACCAAAGAACAGGTCTGTGTGTCTGCTATGTGTGTGTTTTTTTGTTTTTGTTTTGTTTTTGTTTTTGTTTTTTGTTTTAGTTGCATATTAAACCAGAACAGATCCTGTGAAATCAATCTTTTTGTTGCATTAACACCAGGTCATGAAGATGGAGGAGAAACTTCAGGGACTCCAAGAAGAGAAACATCAGCTTTTTCTGCAGCTTAAGAAAGTCCTCCACGAGGAGGAAAAGAGACGCAGGAAGGAGCAGAGGTACCGACCCGCCGGGATGCATTATTCTCTGTTTGAGGTCGCGTGTTTTACCTGCTTTCCTCTACCCTCTTCAGCGATATCACAACCTTGACATCAGCCAGCTACCAGCCCAGTCTGTCCATGCACACAGGACAACATCTCCTCAGCATCCCAGGTGAGAAGACAAACCGACATCCGGGTTACTTTTAGCTAAAAGGTATCGATTCTTGCAGTGATATTGGAAGAGTGAGCACTCCTGGGAAGATTAATCTCTCTTCCATCTTTTATTTATTTGTAGGAAATTATCTTAGAAATGTCTTTGTTCCAATAAGTTACAGACTCTTAGATTTCAGCGCCTGTTCTTGAATTTCTTTGGGCGATGACATGATTTGTTTGCTCTTTGACACCTTTTGGCCTGCTTCTCGTTGTCAGACAGGTTCTGTTTTTGTGGCTTCTTGATTTTTTTTTTAGTCAGCTTGTAAAACTGACTAAAAATAAAAGCAGAGGAAATGCGTCTAACGCATCAGCTTTAATGTTTGGTCTGTCCAGGAAGTCCGGTGAGTCACAGTCGACCCGGCGCCCTGCTGGGAGAACGGAGCAAGCAGCTGTTCCCAGCCTCCGTCATCCCGGTAAGTACAGAACCGGAGAGGAGGCTGAAATAAAATCGTCCACCTGCCAGTTTGTGTTTAACAATAAAAACACCAGAACTACAGAAAAAAAATTATAAGTACAGGCTGAACTATACGGCCTAAAAGTCTAATGTCATCAGAAGCAGATTATTTTATTCAGTTTCCATCTCATTTTTGTGTCAGACCCGTCATTATCAGACGCCCGGGTTCAGCTCCAGCTCAGCAGAACACGGCCAGTTCAGCGGCAGCCAGGGAGTCCACGAGCCCTACGGCGTGGCCGCGTCCCAGCACCCCTCCACCTACGCCCCTGGACCCTCTGTACCCGTTAGCTTCGCCAGCAGCTCTCAGATCAGAGGTGAGGAACTTGATTTGCTTCGCTTTTTGTTTTTTTTAAATGTGTGTTTGCATTGTTCCACTGATCTCCTAACATTTTGATCTCCAGGAGCGTCTGCTTTCCAAGCCATGCAGTACCTCCCTCACCAGCAGACAGGCTATCCTGTTCACAGCCACTTCCCCTCCCAGCCTGGTGAGTTCTGCTGACCTGAGAAACGAGCGGCCGCAGCCCAGATGAATAGCAGAAAAATATCAACGCGACTTTATTTCTGACGGACTAAAGAAATCGATTTGACGCGTTAAAAGCCGCGACCTGTCACGTCTCTTGCAGGATTCATCTCTGGAGCTTCGATACCCCTGCAGAAGCAGCTGGAACACGCCAACCAGCAGTCGGGCTTCACGGATGCAGTGAGTCGAGCCTGTTCAGTTCATACAACAGATCTGATAATCACACCGAATATGTGTATTTACCAGACCACTTGTTTTTGTTTTTTGTTCTTACCTGATGAATGGTTTCGACTGTCGGTCGCCATCGCTGTGGCTCGGATTTTTAAATCTAAAAATTCATATTCAGCTTGGATTTCTCTACTGATGGAAAATGCAACCCGGTCTGCTTACGGTTGAAGTTGTAGTCCGGTTTGACCTGCGGCGTCGGCACTCGTAGCTTATGGGTTACTATGGCAACGTGTCCCACGAACCCAGGCTTGTTTTCTGCAGCCACCCACCTTTTGTTTACGCTGGGTCTTCCAGGATAAAAATGTTTTGATCATTAGTGCTAAGCCCAGAAACATTGACTCTAACGTTAACGTTGCTTCTGTTGACCTTAACTTCCGTTTTACGTAAATCTGATTGTGGTTTTGTTCCGTTTCCTGTCCCGTCAGGGAGCTTTGAGGCCCATGCATCCCTCTGCCATGCATCCTTCTGCTTCAGGTCTGCTGCCCACACCCATGGTCCAGATCCCCACAGCCAAGGTGAGGCTTCCCCACCTCCTGGCTCCCTCCTGGGTCGCCTCTCATTTTTTGTAATTTAAACAGCTTTTTGTGATATTTTGTGTTTGCGTCTTCAGGCTTCGTTTCAGAGCTCCCCACAGGGGGCCCCCCGTCATAGCTTCCTCGCCCACAGCCAGAGTGGGCAGAGGTTCTACCACCACAGCAAGTAAAGCCCGGTCGCCTTCATCTTTCTTCTTCTGCTGCAGCTTCACCACTATGAGGAGGAACCTGTGGTGGATCACTCTGGATTTAAAATAAAAACATAGATTGATTTGTGCCATAATGACTATAATTTTCACAGTGTAGTTATTTTGACTTTTAATAAGCTAACAAGAAAAGCTAGGATTCACGTGGTTCCGTTGTTTTTCCTTGCTTTCGTTTTTTTCCCCACAACTTTTAATGAATAACATTTGTAGATATTCATTAAAAGTTATGCTGCGTAGAGCCTTGTGGCCAGCAGGGGGCGCACAAGAGCATTCGAGTCAAACTTATGTCGGAACTTGATGTCTGTTAAGTCTAGAAAGGATGGGCATACTTTTAAATTTACTCAGATACCAAATTACCGATTTTAACAACTTTCTACGTTGAACCTCCAATCTTGTGGAATGTTTTAATTTTTCCAACTTACAATTTGATAATTTCATACAGAAACCACCATAAAACGGCGACAAAAAGACGAGGAATTTGTGAATTAGTTCTGATGAAACTGGAAATTTAAAGGTTTTTAAAAAGCTATAATAAATTAATATTACCTGCAACATACAATTCTTATGACATCTTTAGTTGTCAGCCTTTTGTGTAAATCCAGGTTATTTGGACTCAGGTGCTAAAGCTAACGGCTAGTTAGCTTTAGCAAGCTAACGGTTAGTTAGCTTTAGCAAGATAGACTAAGACCAGCTTTGACTTTTACTGCCTTCAACATCTTCGATCTCAAAAACATCAGAAGATTATGTGAAGAGTTTTCTGTTAACTTTAAGTCATTGTCAATTTTTGATTAAATTATTACAAAAAAAAGTAAATATCAGCACATTAGAAACGAAGGTTGGAGACGGCGCGCCACCGAAGACCTTCCTGTATGAAACACAAAACACATAAAGCATTTTCAATCAGAGCAAATATTACGAAGGAAGAAAAAAAAATCCCAATATTATGTTTAAATGGACATGTTGAAGTTTTTTTGTTTGTTTTTTTTAAAAATACATTTATATCAGCTACTCCAACCAGGAACGCGTCAGATGTTTCAAGAAGATCACTGGTGCACCGCCTCCCGCCTGCGTTTCTATGTGAAATGAACAGAACCTCGTTCCACAATAAATCCTCAGTTCTCCTCTCAGAAGTGGTTCTGCTGGTTCCTGCTGTGAAACGGACCTCCAGACGTGGCCCGGCTCAGTTGAAAGGAAACTTATTTTGAAGCCGGTCTGAAACCATTTCATGGTCTTAAACGTGCGTCAAACTGTTATTTTTCTATTAAGCCGACCTGTTTTCTTTACTCACAGGTGGTTAGATTCACTCTGGTGATCCCCACTCAGGCTCGTGAACTTTGTGTTAATACTTTGGAGCGTTGCTGTTTGTTTTGTCGTCCTCTGCGGCATTAACTGGCTTAAAGCATTCGTTTAAAACTGGCTAAATAAACAATAAGTCACAGTCATCAGTTTGCATCATCTTTATTACGTTTAGCTTTGTTTTTGTTGTTGTTGTTTTTTTGTATGTGTGTGTTGCCCTTGCGGAGATTCTGCACGGTTCGGCTGTACGAACACAAGAGACGGAACCAAACTTGCCAAAGATTGTCCACAGATCCTGGATCAGGACCTGGGAGCTCAATAAATAACATTTGTTTGTCTTCAGACAGCCAGGAAGGTTTCCGCACAACATCTCCTCAATAAATAACTTTGAACACCGGCAGAATACACTCATCATCTCTCTGAAATCGTTTTCGGTTTCGCTGTAGATCTGGAGGTGAAGCCCTTGATTCAGCAGAGGTTTGTCAAACAGAAGAGTGATTACAGCTCGTCCCTGAAGGTGGCGCCGCTACACAACATTTGTGGATCCACTCTGGGACTCCCGTCTGTGCATGTACATCAATAATGTTTTTTTTTTATTATTATTTATATTTTTTTGTTGTTGTTTCCAGACATTTATTCAAGTCGTCTAGTTGAACCCAAAGAAGAGGCGGAAAGAAAGAAAGAGACAGACAGAGAAGGGAGGGAGACTAGCTTGGACGATGCATTAGCCTCTCCTTTTCCTCCAGGTCCAGTGCATCTCGTTTGTATCTGAAACGGATTTAAGCAGAGGAATGTTTTGATCAGTTACTCTGAGTAGCTTGGTTGCTCAATGCTTTTCTTACTCCGAGTGATTTCTTGGGATGGCTGCTTTTTACTTTTACTTGAGTGAAGACATGTATCATTACTTTGACTTTCTGGATACTCTGCCCAATGTGAGTAACTTTACCCGATGAAGGAGGATGAGCTGGTTTTAACCAAAAAATCACCACACACACACACACACACACACACACACACACACACACACACACACACACACACACACACACACACACACGCGCGCGCGCGCCTGCAGCTTTTGTTGAAGTTCAATATGTTTCATATCAAAGGAAACTGATTTGGAAAAAATTTTCTTTTGCCTAATTTTGTTATTTTGTAATTATGTACATGAATTATTTTCAAAAGCAAAAATGTTTTTTTACGTCTAATTATGTAATTTTTAAATATTAAAATGATTGATGTTTTAATCAGTTAACTTTTTTAACCAAACACCTTTTTTACTTTATCTTGAATAATTTCTTGGTTGTCTACTTTTTACTTTTACTTAAGTAAAAATATGTAGATGTAGTGCTACTCTTTGACTACAATTTTTTGGGTATTCCACGCCCCTCTTATTAAATATGCATAAACATCAGCAGTTTAAAGCAGCAGGTTTTAGAAAAACATTTTTACCTAAACTCCAACGCATGCTGGCGTCTGGTGACAAACGCATAAAACATTTTACAGATCAAACTTTCTCAGGCCGCGTTGGGTCAGTTGCGTTTACCTACTGTGGCTTATTTCCCCAAGGCTTTTATACCGACTGCAGCTTCCTCGTCCATTGCATTTAGAACAGTGATCTGGAAAAGAGAGAGGAGGGGACTGGGAACGTTTCTTTGGAGGAAAGGCTGCAGCGGAAAAAAGAGCGCGCGCCGAGGCGATGCTACCGACCAGGATCTCCTCTCCGGCTTCGTGTCTGCTCTCGATCTCCTTTCCCAGGTCTCCCTCGGGAAGCTTCAGGTCCTCTCTCACCTCCCCGCTGTCCTGGAGCAGGGAGAGGTAGCCGTCCTGGATCCCAATCAGCTGTGAAAGAGGAACACGAACTTGTGATCTTTTTCTTGTGTTCTGCACTGCGTCGCGTTAACCACACACAGGAAGCGGCTCCACTAGAGCATGCGAAAGGGTCAAAAGGTGACAACGTACCTAAAAATGCTCGCATGACCCGAGTTACATACATCTCCAGCACCGGGAATGCGTGGTTTCACTTTAGCAGGAAACTCAACACCTGCTGCCTACAGTTTGGCAAGCTGTGTGGATTCCCCATCCAGCACCACGTTTTAGCCCAGTCTGTCCTGCACCCACTAACCTTTATGTTCGAATGTTTAGTTTTATACATTTCCAACTGCATCCACTAGGGTACGAAGATACAACAGCATAAAAATGGGGCATCTAGTGATTTACTTTTGATATTACCTCCCTTCTTTAAGTCAGACAAAGTTGGTATTAAACATTAATTTTCTTTATTTTAATGATATTTATAGATGTTTCTCAAAGTTCGACCAGCCAGTCCACATTCACAAAATCAAACACAACATGGCGTCAGTGAACTGGGTCGCCTTTGTGTTGGTTTATGCAGAACAAAAGTTCTCATTGGTGCTGTTATAATGTTTAAGTCTTAAAAGAAAAAGAAGCTTTCAGACGTCGACTCACCTGGTAATCCATTCGTTTGATGTTGGGGACGTCCATGTTGTGGGTGGAAGGACAAATGTCTTCATACTTCTTACCGGAGAAGATGTCGATGCCAACCAGGTGAACCTGCGCAGGCACAGAAGACACACAGAAACATTTATACAGATATCTGCAAAACACTGTTTAGAGGGTGAGCTGACTTCTCTGATTTAAGTCAGGATTTTGTCATGTTAAAGCTAAAAAAAAAAATTGTTGGAATGATAACAGTATAACAAAAATGCTTGGAGTGTTGCTTTGTTTCATTCACGAATGTTTGAGAAGTCCTTGAATCTCCCGTGGCAACCGTTTGGGGGTGACTAAACACTTGCTCTCACAAGGCGCCGCCTGTTTCCACAAAACTCCTCTTTAGGTCCTCACAGAGCTCCTCTCTGCCTCACTCAGCTCCTTCAGACTAGTGGCAGCAGCAATTAGCAAACACCTGGTGGAACTGTGAGTCTGCCGAGCTAATGACCTGATTAATGACCTGATTAAAAGCATAATGAGAAGCTTTGTTGTGATGTCTTGCTAATGGCGGCACGTCAGAGAGAGTAGGAGCTTCTTAAAGCCCAATTTTAAGGTGTCAAATTGCAAAGTCAAGTGTTTTTTTTTAAGTCATGTTTGATACATGCAGAATTTTTTTTACAGCACAGTTACTTGATTGTGCTATAATAATCCTGGACAATACATAACGCCGCCCCTTTAAAACACCTCTGATCTGAAACACTCAGGTTTTATAGGGACTGACTGTTCATCAATATTAATGAGAGAGGATTTAGAGATGGATCACCACCTGACAGGTCCACGATGCATAACCGTTTGCTCTAAAGTGGATCTGAAACTTTTCGTATTGATAAAACTAAATGTTGTTGTGATCAGATCAAGGTATACATCAACGCCTTTTTCACCTTTGTTGAGAAATGCCTCATTAATATCCTGTCCAGGTTTGTTTTACGTCTGTAATAAATTCTCCCACAAGCTATCAGGAGATTTTAACTGAACTGTAGAAGAAGAGATTCTTTATCTTTGAACTCCTTACTCCACACACATAAGGAGAACAGAGCAGATTGATGTCACGTGCAAAACTCCCAACAAAACTCCTGCAGCTCCTTCGGTGTTGCTTTTAGCTTCTTGTCAGCCTCTCTTGACACGTTTCTGTCAGAAATATGAGGTTTCTGTCATGTTTTCATACAAGTTTTTATACAAATGATCAGTGACCGTCGTGAGTGTGCCCCAGCTGATTTATGTCCTGCAGTAGACTTTTTTTTTTTCCTACTCTTCTTCCCGACTCATACTTTGGTGCAATACGTTCATTTTTATCCTTTGAAGTCGTTCTGCTTTGGCCAAGCGAAATGAAGGAATATCTAAAGTATCTACAGTTAATCAGATTCACTCTTCGTGGAAGACCGAATGCAGAAATTAAATCAAAAGCTGACTCAGTTACGTCCTAGTTTAAGTGTCTGCGTATTTATGTAGCTATTTCTTCTTTATCTGGCAGACTTGTTCATTTTTCAATTGTACTGTACAATACAAATGCATGAAAAACACGTTAAAACGGTTCATCGGAGAACTGCATAACAGCCGAAACACTGAGTGCCATTAAATCTAGACTAAACCCCCACCTGTATACAGTTGCCAATTTATCTGATCCTGCATTTTTGTTTGTTTGTTTCTTACCTTGGCGTGACCGTGCTTGCCGGTTTTGGAGGTGGACATCTCGACGATCTTGCAGGGTCGACCTTTGAGCACCACGAAGCCGTTTTTGCGCAGCGCGGAGCACTGCATGGGGAAGGTGGCAGACGCCCCGGCATCACCGGTCTGGAAGTCCAGCTCTGCATCCGCCATGGCTGCTGCACAGGCAAACACACACACTCATCAAAAACAAGCCGTTTTTTTTTTATGAATCTCAGTGGTTAGACTGTTTTTTTTCTCTCTCTCTCTTTTCTTTTGCTATCTTTAAGATGCTGTAAAATGAAATGCTGGTTTTAAATTGAAAACCTTTAATATTAAAACTGAAAAAAAAAAATCACCCTCGTTCACGGCACACTTACTAAATCTCTATCTTGCAGCAGCAGCTTCTCCCACTGCATGTTGAAGGTTCACATGCAAACGTCTCACTGAAGGATCCGTTTCACACCTTTTAAATGCACATTTAGTCATTTTTATACAAAACAACCAACAAGTGAGGGGAATTATTGCAGCATAGCAAAGATTAGTACTTTCACCTGAACACACTTTTAAATTGGGTGATTTTACTCACTTCACTGTAAGTCGAGTTACATCGGTTAGTTGTTGTCCATGTAATTTACAGGTAATGGACTGCAGTAAATATTCAACAATTATTGAAATAATTCAGTTTTGATGTGCCTTCAATACACTTGGTGACACTTAAATGCTCAGTAGCGGCATGTTATAAAGGTGTGGAGGCAGTAATGCAGGTTCAGTCCCGTAGAAATGACTAAAGTTGCTTCAAGGCTAAAACTTTTACAACAAAACCTGAGACATTAGTAATACATTTATGGGGCTTTTTTTCCAGCTGGATGTACAATGTGCTATCTGGACTCTGTGTTTACAGTGACTGTTGATAGTGTTTTCGATCACAGTGTCATGTGGATGAGAATCTGAATCACTTCTGGATATTTGTCATTAGTTTCCTTTTTTTTTTCTTTCACCTCATTGGCTGTTCCAGGCCTCTCTGTAAATGGTATAAAACACTGGTAGTGTGTTACATATTTAGATTTTTTTTTTTTTTTTTTTAAGTTGTGTAAATTACAGTGATCCTATTAAACCATTTACAATGTCCTGGACGAGCCGTGGTTGTGTTTCTCAATATTTCTGCTCTCGATATGTTTCTTAAAGTAAAAATCCGTCAGCATTGCCTCATAGATCCGCGCTGAGTCTCTCTCCTCTGACTGCGGCCCTCAGCGGACCGGCATGCCGCCTGCCTGCACCCAGGCTGAGGCCCTCCTGGTTGCCACAGCCAGCCTTTAGGAGCTAAAGTGGCAGCTATGTTATTGCTCCCTCCCCCCCTCCCCCCCATCCTCCCAGTAACACTCACAGGAACCAGCAAACAGCTGAACACTAATGTAACTGCGGCTTCCGGCAGGCAGCGCCTTGCAGACCCGAGACCAGCTGCTCTCCCCCCGCTGGATGGACCAAAAATGTTGGCTGTATTTATTTATCTTTAAATCCAATAACAAATCACCTAAAGGAGAGACGCACTAAGAGCGCCTGTCTGCAGCCTGTCTTGTGCGGAGGAAACCTCCTGCCCAGGCGCAAACACGCCCCTCTTATTGGACGAGGAGAACTTACTCCGCTGATAATGGCTCTGCTCCTCCGCTGTGGTCACTGTCCGGCCCGGCCTCTGCTCCTCCAAAACGATGTCGCGCCCACCTTTTTTTTTATTTTATTTTTTTTTAATTATTATCAGTTAGTCTTTAGCTGGTGTTTTTATTATTTCTCTGACTCATTCCTTCCCCTTCAGTGTTGTCCAGACTGCTGTTTGCCTCCAGCAGAGGAAGGCGACCACTCCAAGCAGCCGCCGGGCCGAAACGCATCCAAAGCCCGCTTGTTTGTACGATGTGCAGCCTCTCTCTCTCTCTCTCTCTCTCTCTCTGTCTGCTGCTGTCATCCAGCTCCCCAGCACCGCTTGGACATAATAAACATATAAACATCGACAGAAACCACTTCCTGTTGGCTCTACCACAACAAAACACTCACAAAACTCACAGTACACTGCTTTTCTTTGACTTGGCTATATCGTCTTTATTGAGATATAATAAGGAATATATGTGAGAAATATTTCTTTTATTTTGCGTCATGGTTCTACATATCAAGTTATTGATATGTAGAACTACATAACTCCAGTGACTTTTTGGACTTACAATGGCTCTCAATATATATGAAAATGATAACTAATGTTTTTATAATACGGAATAAACGTACAGATTTTTTTTTTTTACAACAGAATTACATTAAAAAAATACCCTTGATATTTGCAGATCTGTTTTTCCTGTCGATTGCTTGGAAACTTTGTTGTATCATTTTCCGCAAACTATGTCTCAAAGAAGAAAGTTTTATCCATCCGCTTTTTGCAAGAGTTCTATTTGCTTTATGCAAATAACAGAAATAAAATGGTGGCTCTGAAAAAACAACAACAAATTTCCGAGAGGAGAAATTTATTAAAAGTCATAAGTTGTCATTTTTATCAAAAGATTATGTAACATATTCAAATCTAAGCTATAGCCTTATGCGGCTGGATTTAAATGAATCCTTGGATTGTAAATGTTGCAGACTCCTGAATCATTAAATTATTTATTTAAAAAAAAAAAACATTTGACACAGTATAAATCACCTTCTGTCTAATTACTTCCACCAAGACTTTTCAATACGCTTTCTCCACAACTTTAGATCTGGTCAAGTTTGACTTACATTTACCTCTTTAAAGAAACTCAGCATCTAATTTATCTTTTGGATAAATGTTTTTCTTTTCTTGTTGCTCTACATCCACACTGTCTACATGTTAATTTACTAGGACATATGGACCAAATTTAGGTCGAATTTGACGCACATCGATATCAGAAAACCAGCTTTTTTAATGATCATAACAGTATTGCCTCACTCGTGTTCCTACTTTTAATACAAAGGTAAATCGTCACTGTATCTCTGTGCTTAATTCCCCGCTCTCCTCCCTCACCGCTGAAAGACTTTTATTTTGAAGAGCTGCCGCTCTTCCTGTTAGCTGCTGGCTAACTGGCGGTAGCTTGACGTCTCCGTCATGCAGATGCCCGTTAAAGAAACCTCAACAAGCTGATGTGTATCGCACATGGACCATTCATGTTTTCTCTTCCTGGACTCTTACTGTGTGATAGATGCTACACTCTGTGCGTTTACAAAGTCAGCAAAGTATTTGACACACATTGTTTTACGCTGTGAATCTAAATTACAAATGGCGCCCTCTACTTCTGTTTTGATTTTACGATTTCTCTGCGGATTCAAGCTAAAAGGTGTAAGTCTGTTGCGCACCTTATTAAAATGACACATTATTGATCAGGATGCAGTTGGAGAAGCTCAACGTGTGTTTTCATACACTCTCCTGCATCTTAAGGAGTCGACTCTCATCCCCACAGTCTTTCCTGCTTTATTTTATTGTATTCCCTCTCCCCACCAGGAATCTCAATCTATATTTGTAACTATTTTCTTGCTCTGGACTCATGGCCACAAGTGTGCAGCAAATGGTGCTGCTGAACTTGGCTCTTCTCAGAGGGGCTGAGTTAAATTTAGAGGTTTGAAACTGGAGTGCAGTGACCTATGCAGGCTGCACTTAAAGGCAAAATGTGAATTAAGCTACTGCTGTTCTATAAAGGCAACTTTTAATGACAGATCGCAGAGATTAAAAAGAAATGTGTTTTTTTTAAAGCATCTAACAATAAAATCTAATTGAAACTTTGACAGTCGACTTTTCTGAGTGATATCAGCATGGCTATGTTAGCAGGCACTTATGAGGTTTAGGAGGAAGCTGAAGAAAACAGATTAAAAACAAAGCATGCACATGGACATCATGCAAACTCCATACAGAAAGTGACTCAAGGATGCTGAACACCAACACCCTGTACCACAAATAAACAATTGAATGGATGATTAAAACTTTAGTTTTATACAAATCTCAAAAATAGCCTATAGAGAGTAGATTTTGATGTTTGTAGCACCAAAAACACAATCAGGAAACACTATAAGCAGGGAAGTCCTAATCTATTCACCTTAAATCAATTCAGTTCGTTTACACCGAGTTAATTTTCTCTCCATTTGATTTAGTTCTGTTAAATTCAGTTCAGATCATTTCAGCTTAATCCAACTTCACTTCCCTTCGATTAGGTTCAATTCAACTCTGGTTCATTCAGTTCAATTCCAGTTCACTTCAATTAATTCAGTTTTGTTTAGTTCAGTTGTTTCTGGACCACCTCCATCAGTTTAGCTAATCAAGGTTTAATCAATTTAATCTCAATTCAATCTGAATTTAATTTCCACATAGTTAATTTCCCGTTCTTTTTCAGCTCGGTTTAATTAAGTAATTCAGCTTCATCAAGTTCAGTTTATTTTAGTTTAGTTCATTTTCAGTTATATTTTTTCATTCCCTCTAAGTTTAGGTCAACAAAGTTTAATTGAGTTAGATTTGGTTTAATTTAGGTAATTTCGATTCACATCAAAGGTATCAGGGTAATTTCTGTAAAATCACATGACAGTTTTAACATATTTTCAAATGTGTGTTTTTTTTTCAAGCAGTTAAACTAAATCCAGTTGTAAAACAATTTAAAACAGGAGATTATAATCCGGTGGCTCGTTACAGGCTGTCTTGAACACCGGATTGAAATTTAACAGCATTTTCCATTTAAAGTCTGCATAAAAACGTGCCATAAACTCGATTTAGATCAAACTTTCTTCCACTTCCGGTGGCAGAAATCATCTCCTCTCACCCTTACCTGTTCCCCACCTGCCACTGTTTCCCGTCCAATTTGCCGACTTCTCGCAGCCAATCGGTTTCCAGCTCGTGCCCGAGTGAAACCAATGAGGGCGCGGCTTCCGTCCGGCAGCGCGACGTGACGTCGAGATAAAACCTTAACCGAGGCGGGCAGAAAAGTTTCAAGAAGAGTAGGGGAGTAACAGGGAAGGGGCGAGAGCAGCGGAATCAGCAGGAGCGGCAGTCCCCAAACTAGAGCAGCAGGAGCGAGGATGAGCGACGCCGAGGCGCCGAGCGCTCCACCACCAGCCCCGGTGGGAGACGAGCCTCAGCCGGAGAGGAAGGTTATAGGTGGGTGCAGAGAGAGTGGAAGAGCCGCAAACCAGTCTGGTTAGTTGTTTTAGGGCGCATTGCCTGCGTGAAGTCCCATTCTTAATACTTGTGCACTTTCATAGTCTTGAGCTATGTTGCGATCCTTTGACGTCTGAAAGTTGTGAGGATGGTTGGGCAATCCCATTTACAAGCACTGTAAACAAATAATTATGGCTTCATTTACAGGGTGACACGTGTTGGTACTTATAAACACCCAATCTCCATATTGTAGAAAGAATTCAATTGATACATGTGTTTATCGCATTGAGTGCGCCTCATTTTTGTGGCAAATGAGAAAGTTATATTGCTCTCCTGACATTGTGAGCACACGACCCAGATATGAAGTCCTCACAGCTGCAAATCATTTGCCTAAGCAACACATGGACCAATTAAACGATATCAGGTGGACTCCAGCAGAAACTGCTTCCTGACAAAAGCTCAAATCATTGTTTGATGAATCATGTCTCTTGCCTTTTGCCTCCTGAAGGTGTTAAACAGGTTGTATCGTTGCTCCACTTCCCTCCCTCGTGACCCAGATGAGACCTGGTTTCAAAGTCTGACTGTTAATGATTGATGATGAGGGCAAGATAACAGCATGGTTTCTGTAAAATGGCCTGTATATCCATGTCTTATGTAAAAAGGAGGGGGGAAAAAACAAATTTGTTAAATCTTCTGTTACAGCCACGGCAGTTCAAGGCACAGTGAAATGGTTCAATGTCCGTAACGGCTATGGCTTCATTAACAGGTACCACTTTATATAATGCGTTACTATAAGAATCCCCCAATCTGGTACAACTGCTAAACTATCATTTCTTGCAGAAATGACACTAAAGAAGACGTCTTTGTTCATCAGGTAGGATTAAGTTTTGGTTCTTCATCCTGCTTTGATTGTACCATTCCTTTGACTGATTTCTTCTTCCAGACTGCCATCAAGAAGAACAATCCTAGAAAGTTTCTCCGAAGTGTTGGAGACGGGGAAGTCGTAGAGTTTGATGTAATTGAAGCAACTAAGGTGAGGGCGAAGGAGTGTTTGGGTTGTTCTGGCATCGAAAGCTCTAGCCTGTTCAAGAACTGGTGTGTTGTCCCAACAGGGCTCGGAAGCGGCCAACGTTACGGGTCCGGGTGGTATTCCGGTTAAAGGCAGCCGCTATGCTCCCAACAAACGGCGTTTCCGTCGGCGGTTCATCCCCCGCAACCCTCGTCCTGCAGACCAGAGTACACCAGCCGATGGCCAAGCTCCTGCACCAGAGGGGGAGCAAATGGAGGAGATGAGGCCTCCACCCCGGAGACGTAGGCCACGCAGGCCGCGGCTTAGTACCCAAAATGTATGGTAAAGCAGAATGAACATTTAGGGGTTTTTTTTTCTTTTGTTTTACTTTGGCGTTAATTAAATTTTACTGGAATAACAGGGGGAGGTTGTAGAGGAAAAAGATGGAGTTGCTGAAGGTGATCAGACACAGCAGATGCCACAAAGGCGCAGATTCTACCGTCCCTACCGCAGGTAACCCTGAAGTCGTACTTGAATGTGACGATGTCCATACAGTTTTTTTTTGTTTTGTTTTAAACTCTCTTTCCCCATCAACCTAGACCCTTCCGCCCTCGCCCACCTGCAGATCAGTCTGCAGCTGACCAGAAACCTGTGGCTTCAGAGGAAGGCAAGGAACAGCAGGCAGAGGTAAAACAGGTGGAGTCTCCTGAGAGTGTCCAGACCAACGGCGAGACGCCAACAGAAGGCCAGAAACCACGCCGGCCGTCCAGACGGCGCAGGCAGAGGAACTCTGAATCCTCAACATCAAAAGCAAGTTCTTTTTTTTTTTTTTTTTTTTTAAACAAAACTCCTCTGAATAAGTACTTCTGTTAAATGTATTTGTTTTTTGTCTTGCATGAAGAATGAGACGGAGAAGTCTGGCTCGGAGCCTGGGTCCCCCCCTCAGAGCACAAATCCAACAGGGGACAAATCTACACCCAGATCGTCAAAGTTGTCTCCGAAAACCTCTCCTAAAACGCCAAAATCTCCTGAGGTAAAGCGTTGAGCATAATAAAGTGTTCTTGCATGTTTCCTGTGACGCATTGTAATTTGTTTGCCCTCAGGCGGAGGTCGCCCCAGAGGTTGAAGCCCAAACAGAGTGATTGCACCCAGGCTTGTCTCAGACCCTCAGCCCCCAGGGGGAAGATGGGACCTGATGCCAAAGAACGCTGAGTGACTCTGGATTCGGACAGTTCGAGATTGTGCTGCTCGTGCATCACGGGACAAACGGGTGGTCTCTTGACGGACGTGGACTGGTTTAAAGTCGAATGCTGGCATTAAAGGGATAAAAGCAATTTTTATGGAGTCTTTAAGGACATTTTTTAAGTTTAGTCTTTAGTTGAAACACAAAGCATTTTTTTTTTTCTTTTTCTCAAACCAGGATTAAAGACCAGCCTAATCCTCGTTCAGGATTAGAGGCATATGACGTTTGGTTCTTCACCGTTTGAAATCCCTGTGCCTCCTTTGCGTTTTTCTTGTAGGTCCTGAATTTGAGAACTGGACCTCTTTCACAACATGCACTGCTCTCCCCTCCCCTCACACTCTCCCTCTCTCTCAACTTGTTTATAGCAACTGGTTGGCGAGGAGTCAGCAGGTTAGAAGGTGATGCCGATGGGTGTGTGATTAAAAAGTTAAAAACCTCTAAGCCGGGGGGAAGGGGGGGAAAGGACAACCTGCTTGGTGGCTCTGTCATTCCAACCCCTCTTAGAAGAACATTTTCTTTAACTCACCAGATAAGGGTAGATCAGGTATTCAGAGGAACCAGCCTTGTTTTTTATTTGGCTTTTTAATTTGATTTGAGGGGAAACCCAAGCAGGTGTGCAGCTGGTGGTTTGCATTGGGAGTCGGTTTAGTTCTGGTACCACCTGAATCGGTTGAAGCGTTGTGCTCCTTTCATCTCTGGCTTTGGATGGACTGATGGGGGAGGGGGGAGAAAAAAAAACTTTATTTCTCGAGTTTTAGGTTTCCTTTTTGTTGGAGGGGATTATGTGCAATGTCGGTGCTTGGAATGCCAATAAAACATGTTTGCAAATATCATGACTTTGGTTTAGTTTTGTCTGACTAGGATGGAATAATATGGAAATGAAGAGGCTTTTGTACAGTTATTTACATCACTTGTATAACCACAGCATAAAATTACAGGTCCACTGAAAAAAAAATCTCAATACAAATATTCAGAAATGAGCACAACAGAACACACACACATTGATGCAAAGACTGTACATGAACTACAAAATAAATCTTAATCTCTAACCTCACTGAGCATCCACAAAAAAAAGCATACACCAGCTGGAGTGCATACAGAGTAGAAACTTTAGACCCGCATACCATGACATGAACGCTATGTACACAAGAAGTACCAAAAATGTTTTCCCAAATCTCTGGAAAACATTAAAACTTAAGAAGGGAACACGTGTGTAAAGAATTGACTGATGCAGGATTCCTACAGTGTGGAAGTTTTGGGGTGAAATGTTTAGTTTTTCTAAACTTGTTCCATTTTCTAAAGGGTTTGCTCTGACTTTTTGTGTCCAACTTTGGGTATTTTTAACCCTTAAACCCATCAGGATTTTGGTTTTTCACTTGTTAGCTGAACAGACTCAAATTGTCATTCTGAGTCTGTTCTAGCTAGTTCAGACTCATCTATGCTATGCTCAGATGGGAAGTCGGTTCCAGCAGTGTTTTGAGGAACAGACAGATTAGAGCTGTGCAGTAAATCTAATCAACGTGGCTTTAATGCAATATCTGCTCTGACTCGAGGTCTGCATGCCAATAAAATTGATGGTCAGGTTTTAGTCTGTGTAGCTTATTGATCCAAGCTTCATCAGCAGGAAGCTGTGAAGGAAAAAGTCAGCAAACTGTTTATCTGAACTTATGTGACTGTAATATCAACAGTATCACAATGTTTCCCTACAAATACGGCTCAACTGCTCTTCAAATATCAGCTGAATAAAAGTTAAACTTCCCAAATATCCAAAACTTTAATGAAAATATGGGGAAAAAGGCTGATAAACGTGTGAACGCTTCGTTGCTTGATTTTTACTGCATTCACCAATTTAAAGAGGCATTATTACGCAAAAGTTTCGAGATTTCTTTTTTAGATTTATATCATGTGATTCCCTCTTCAAAAATCATGCATGGTGTGGTTCTTCAAATCTTTCATGAGAAATCTTTGAATCTCCAGTAGCAAACCATTTGGGGTGCCCTAACGCTCCCTGGAACTGCAAGTCCCAAGCCAAGCTTCCACCTCATAGAGCTCTCTTCCCCACTCGGCTCCTTCAGACTAGCGGCAGCAGCAAGCAGCAAACAATTGGTGGAGCTGTGCGTCTGCCGAGCTCATCATACAAACGACTTCTCAGTGAAAAGCTGGTAAAAATGTTTTCAAAGGCTTGAAAGAGGAATGTTGTGATGGCGGGCTGACAGAGAGGGAGATTCTTAAAGAGACACAGGCCCAATTTCAATGAATTAAATATTGTAGACACATTTCCTATGTCATTTTTGATATATAGCATTTTTAAAACAACTGAAGGTAAGATTATTTGATTGTGCTCTAAAACGAGACTATGTGCCAAGAAAATACATAATACTGCCCCTTTAATATCAGATGGTAAAGCAAACTAGTTAAGAAACTAACTTTTTTCTGCAATAGAGTGTTTCCAAAGTCTCTACAGGAACCCAAATCAGCCTTACTCTAACGTGTTCCCATCTTAAGTGAAAACTATAAAGTTACGTCAACTTCCTACGTCAGTGATGTCCATTTTCAGTCCCCAAGACCCAAATGTCCCACAGGTCTCAGATGTTCACTTGGTTGAACACAGTGCAAAGCAAATTAATTATTACCAAGCATTTGCAGGACATGATGTTGAGAAGGTAGCTCAACCACTCACATCTGATTTGGTCTTTCAGAACTGAAGTTGGACACCACCGTCCTACAGTACCTGTACCTCCGTTCGCCGAAGTCTTTCTTTATAAAGTGCAGGAATTCCAAAATTTCCCCATCTTTCAATGCTGCGTCTGAGTTCATCAGCACTGAACGAAATCATCTCACACCGACAGTCAATGCCTCTGTCTTTTTCTTCATCGGTGAGTCTCTAACCCAAAGGCTTTGAGCTGTCAGAACCACCAGTTAGCGAACTGCTGTGGTACCAGCAAACGACGGCTCCAGAAACTTCCATACTGTCACACACTTATCTTAACACTGCTTTGGCACCACAAGCTATATCAATATGACTACAGATCTCAAAATATGTCAGAAAATAAAAATTTTGGAGTAGGGTCCGTACACAAACTTCACCTTAAATTGTACTCAGTTTGTTTTTTTTGGTTTTGTTTGGACTCTTCAGTTGATGCTTTCATCGCCCAGGTAGTCCAGCTCTGTGCTGGGCTTGTCCAGCTCCATGTCCATATCCATCATGCCAGCCGCTGAGTGCTGATTAAAGTTGGCTGCAATCTGGTCGAATGTCTTTCCCCGGGTCTCTGGCACCCGAAAGAACGTGAAGATGAGGAAAAAAAGGAGCAGCACTGCGAAAATCAGGAACACGTAAGGCCCACAGAGATCCTGGGGAGGTAGATTTAGGAGATAGCGTGAATTTATTGGGAAAAAATGTCCAAAACATTTGCAAGACTCCATATTTTGGAATGCTGATGGTACTCACCGCAACGTACTGGAAGCCCATGCCGATGATGAAGTTGGCGGTCCAGTTGGAGAAGCCCGCCACAGCCATGGCAGCCGGCCTTGGGCCTTGAGAGAACAACTCAGCCACAAAGAACCAAGGAATGGGACCTGGACCCACCTCGAAGAAGGCCACGAAGCCAAAGATAGCTAGCATGCTAATGTAGCTCATCCAAGGAATGCTGTCCTGTCAGGTGGAGGAAACGAGGCAGTCAGCGGTTTATTGGGCTTGGTAACACTGGTAGACAAAAAACAAGTAAGAATTCAACCTGAATGTTAGCGTTACTTACCAGTAAAGCCAAGGCTATGGTCATAATAATGGCAGAAATGCACATTCCTGCCAAACCCAACATGTGAAGTGTCCGCCGACCCATCCGCTCCACGAGGAACAGCTGTTTATTTCAGGAAGACAATGAAAAAATGTAACTTTTATTCATTTCTGAGCCAAATGTACAAAGTTTGTTCTGTCAGTGCCTTATTGATATGTTGTTGTTTTTTTTTACTAAAAAATTGAGACTTACAAGGTTAAGCTAACATTGCTAGCATGTTTACAAACTCAGCTTTCTAGTTTTGATCAATTATTAACTGACAAAAGCTGACCAGAATAGACTGATTTTTAGTTTGACTGAATACTAAAAATCAGTTTAACTATTTCAGTTTGGTCTAGTTCAGGCATGAACTAGAAATGCTAGCTGAATGCTAGCAGCTACAAAGGCTAGCTGAAGTTTAGTATTTTTGCAGTGTGAGCACACCGACATTACCGGGTCACATTAAGCACAACACCCTTCAGTGTGGACAATATAAGAATCAAAGCAAGATAATTTTAGTATCAGGTGTTTAATAAGAAAGTCTGAGGGAGCACAGATATGCAAGAAGCTGTGAATGAGGAAACTGGTGGAGGGTCTACACTGTGGTGTAGCATTTATTGTGAGGCTCTTGCCTTGCAGAGCTCAAACTTATTTCTTATCCCAGTTTGGTGGATATATGCCTCCACCAATGGTTTAACATGTGGAATATTACATTTCTGCTTCTTTTAAATGACAACTCAGCTGGATAATGGACTCAACATGAAAACGATTGACCAGCCTCCTCTTATCTTATTTACTCTTTGATAACAGAGTTAAACACAGAAAGAGACACACTTGTTGATTTAATGTGGCTCAAAGCAAGGCTGTATAAAGTCTCCCAAATACTTTAAACGTTACTGCGAGGCTACCAGCGAGCCAGGACACAGACATCTCACCGAGACCACAGTGAAGGCACAGTTTACAACTCCGGCTCCTATTGTGGCGTAGACCGGACTCTGGACTCCTGCCTTCATGAAGATACTGGTGGAGTAGTAGAAAATCTGGAGGCGGGATTAAACAGATCTGAGTTACCGCTGAGACCCGGGTCAAGTTTTGGGACTTGATTAATGCTCTGAGTAAAATCAAAACTCAACTGCATTGACTCCAGAGAGCTGCTGGGAGAGCTGCAGCAGGATGGAGACGACGATGGGCTGGCGGTACAGAGGCGAGCGGAAGAGCTCTAGGATGGAGACTTTCCTCTCCATGTCCATCCTCCTCTTCTCCTCCTTCATCTCTGCTAGCATGTCACCCACCTCCTGCCGGCCTGTTAACCTCCTCAAGCCTGTCCAGAGGACAAATGGGAGGAGTTCAGACAATCGAGAGGCAAAGAGGAGTTTCAAGAACAACGTGTGGGACGGCGGTTCCACCCACCACTCTTGGCATGATGCTCCTGACTCCGAATGATGTAGAGGAATCGAGGACTCTCGGGGCAGAAGGGCAGCAGACCCATCTGCAGAACAGTCGGTACCACGGTCAAACCCAGCAGAACGGGCCAAAGGTCCTCACTGCCCAGCAACATCTCCAGACCCAGAATCTTGTCAAATAGAAGAAAAAAGGCGGCGTTAGTGATGCCTGGACGATCTCAAGCACACATCTGCTTTGAACTTGTAGATCTAACAGCAATGTGGGGAAGAGAGTCACTGTGTTGGAAAGAGAAATTTACCACGGCAATACAGGACTGTCCACTATTACCTAGAGAATAAAGTTAAACCAAATTAATCTTTCACAGCAGGACAATGATCTCAAACTAAACAAATCTTTAATTTGAGTAAATCAGTGACGGAATAAAACCAAATATTAAAAAAACTGTACATTTTCATTCAATCACATATCTCCAACTATACTTTTTTCTTGGTAATTCATGGGTTTGTGTACTGCCTTGGTGTTAAAAGTAAGGCACAAATACATTAATATGTCTGAAGTACTATTCAAATTGGAAAGGCTAGAGAACCCGCCTTAAAGTACGGCACTTATACGTGTTGGCCGACAAGATAAGAGTCTTGAAACTGTGGTGAAAGTAAAAAAAAATTAAAACATTTATTTTCAAAACACAAAGAAGAAGGAACCAGAGCAGGAGATCAGTATGAGTCCTAGTTTAGGTTGAGGATCAGTCTGAGTTATCATGGATAACCGGTAATTTTAGGACGTTTTGTCCCAGCCTCCTCCTTCGGCTCGTTTACATTTTAAAAAAATATAAATGATTGCTCAACGCAACTAATGCAGCAGAACAGAGTTGCATCTTTGTAAAGTTTGACAATGCTTTTATTTCCCAGGCGGCCAATAACACGCAGTCACACCTGTGCTATAAGAATCCCAGTGACTATGGCCAGTTGGTGCAACGTGCCGAGTGCACCTCGGAGACTTGTAGGAGCTATCTCCCCCACGTACATGGGCGTCAAACCAGACGCAAGTCCTGCGCAAAGAAGGAAGAGATGAAAAGAAAGACAGAAGGTCGGCATTTCAAATAAGCGACAGATTAAACCAGAACAAGCTGGAGAACTCGAGCGGTTTTTACATTTTAATGAATGAAAACTGAGAAAGGAAAGATAGAAACAGAACATTATCTTACCACAGTAGGCCCCAATGATGAAACGTCCCAGAATCATCATTTCAAAGGAGCGACAGACCTTAGACATTCCCATCAGACTCCCAGCAGCGAAGGCGAACAAATTGTTGGCGAGCATCGCTTTCCTCCTGTAAGAAACATAAAAACTGTCATCATGGTGTCCAGAAGGGTGTCTGATTCAGTTCCCGTGATACTGGAACGGGTTCTGCTTTGTTCCCAGAACTGCGAACTTGACACCAGATTCATTTTGGCCTCTAGAGGGCAGCATCCCACAAAAACACAGAGTCTTGGAGTCTATTTGTGATGCGAACTGCTAAAGGGACAATGCAAATATCTGTGAATGCTTATTTCTAACAAACAAATAAAAAACTCACAGAAAATGTTAGTCATCATAATTTATTGCCTGCTCAGTATGATTTTTAGTCATCGACAGGATGAATAGAGTACTGTGAGAATGAAAATCCCCTAAAATAGTTAAAAAGAATGATGCAATTTAAATAAGAGCTTTACTTTAAAATGTTCAGTCAAGTTCCTTAATGGCTGAAAAGAAGAGATAATTTTGCTCTTCCAACAAATGTATTAATTTATCATTTTTGATACAATCAGCTTGACTTCCTAGACAGAAGAGATTTTTTTTATCAGTTAGCTCTGAATCATCAACTGAATTTCATTTTTGCTTTAATATATTCTGATTAAATTGAACTTCATGTTATTTGACAAGATGTCAGGATATTACTGGATAAAATTGAGTATATCTGAATTACATCTAAGCTGACACGGACGCTGCATGTTTCACTATGAGTGAGATATATATATATACATATATATATATCTTTTTAGATAGTATTTTTATTGGTCTGTGCTTTTTAGATTAACTGAGTTAATTATTTTAGATCCGTTTCAATTAAGTGACTTTGAGTGATTTGGTTGTGGTTTTAATTCAATCTGAAATAGTGACATGAAATTTAATGTCAGCGTTAGCTACGACACGAGGGAGACAGCGGACAGCTTTAACAGAACTGTGACTTTCTAAACCAGACGTACCCACTGGTGGGAGGGCAAACTAAACAAAAACCATAAAAAAACTTGTTTACTATTGATATGTTTCTAGAATTTATACGTATTATATAGTTTATATATGCCCCAAATAATATAAAGTTTGTGTTCCAATTATTTAGCCGTGTTAATCCGTCCGTCCATCCATGATGATGGGACTCATCCTATCTCTAAGGCTGAACTGAGTGACTCTATGGAGTAACCATGGTAACGAACTACTATAAAAACTGCTACTATAAAAATGTGAACTACTATAAAAATGTGTTGCTTAAATCTCTGTTAACAAAAACAAAAACTAAACATAATCATATCTGCAACCTGTTGTCACCGCCTTTCTGTTTCAGATAAAAGCAGTCAGATAAAGAGCGGCGAGGAATTTGACTTTTTCATGATGTCATTATATCGTCAAGCAGCCCAGTGTGGATATTTTATAAGAGTACAGCAAAACTACTTTTAATCAAGGAAAAGTGTAAATTTTCTCTCCTCCCTGTACTTTATGTTCTGACTTGTTGTTAAAAACATCATCTGTGGTCCAATGAGAGTTGATCTGCGTCTGCTCTTTGACTTCTGAGGTCACAGCAGCTTTTCCACCAACACCAGAGGCAGCTGTGCTTCGAGGAAGACATGCAGCCTGACCTGCTCTGTGCCCCGACCCTAGACTCCCAGCTCTGTTATGCCCACCCCCCGTTTCACCCATCGTGGTTTAGGTTACAGAGGGAAACTTGGACGGCAGACATCGTGGACAGAGAGGAACTTAGACCCCATGTTTTGTCTTTCAAAGGGCAGCGTTTGTGTTTTCCAGGCACATAGTGGCATTTTATAGCATAATCTAGTAACTATGTTAACTTCAATTGTTATAATAATACTATATATATATATATATATATATATATATATATATATATATATATATATATATATATATATATATATATATATATATATACAACATATATAAAAA